AGCAGGAATCACGGGCAAAGGTGTAGATGACACAGAGCTGGATGGCCCAGGATTTGTTCTGGGATGGAAGGTGAGAAAGGCAGCCTTAAGCAGGGATGCAGTGCTGCCCCCCGACATCTGTGCTGCCCTTTACAATTCCCAAAGCTCTTCTCCCCCTTGCAATCTCAAGGACTGCTCTCCGGATGGGCAAACTGCAGTCCAGCAGGGACGCCCCAGGCTGTTCCCCGGAGACAAGGTCGAGCACTACCCCTTTCGCCTGCCCATCCGGGTGACCTGAGGCTGGGGGCTGCCTACTCCCAGAGGCCCTAAGGACTGGGGGACAGAGTCCTTGCAGGACACAGCCTGATCCTGGCTGTGTCATGTGAGTTCTCTGGTCTCAACTTCTTCCACCATGAAATGGGTACAGGGTAGAACCTGCCTCGCCTGGCTGTGGGGACCAAGGGGGACAACACTCCAGAGCACTGCAACTAGCGCACAGACGTCCTTGTCCTGGTGACGACCTGAGGTGTTCCCTCTGCTCCCTCCCCCTGACGCCAGGACAGACAGACTTCAGAGCTGGCAAGCAGGACAGACAAGGGAGGGCAGTAAAGAGCCTGGCTGTGTCCCAGGTGTCACTGGGACCCCATGCTCCTAAGGCCGAAGGAGCCTTCAGCCCTCTCCCTGGCTCCACAAATCTTCCACAATCCCAGCTCCTCAGACTGCAGCTCCACTCCCCACCCCTCTGCTCCCACGCTGCCTGGGTCAGCCCGAGCTACTCTGATGCCATGATCCCCAGCCTCAGAACTACCTAGAATCTCTGGCACCATTGGGTCAATATTGACTAAGCCCCTGCACCCCTGGCCCTGGGCCAGGGCTGAGGCCCCAGGGTGACCAAGATGGGTGCTGAAGGACCTGGCTTCGAGGCTCTGCCACCGTGTGACCTTGAGACAGTCATTTCCCTCTCTGGGCCTTGGTGGCTGGAAGAGGGGCAGGAAGACTGGGCTCCTCCTCTCCAGCCCCAATCAATGATCAGAGAGAGTTTGGGGGAACACACTTTGTCCTCTTACACACCCGAGGGTGGGGGGCCCTAGGGTGCTTGTGTTCTCTTTCTCACTCCCGACCTGGGGTCCGCAGCTCCCAAGAGTTGGGGGCGCCGGGTGCGAATGCAGCATCCCTGCGCTCAGTGCTCTGCCATTGGCCAGAGATGATCTCACCGCCTCCCGGCCTGCGCGCGCCTGATTGGCCAGCGCGGGGATGCTGCGCTCTGCCGGCGGCGGGCCGTCATTCAGGCGGGCTGCGAGCGTGTGTGAGCTTGGGGGAGCGCAGAGGGGACGCGCCCGGCGT